TTTTTTTTGCCCCCTTACAGGAGGGAGAGATTACTTAAACACGCTCTCTCTTCCTAAGCTGCTTGTCTCCAGATTACAGGGCTTCCCCAAAAAGGGCTAAGGGCAAGTTAACAAGCTGAGCTCTGTGACCTTAAATACTATAGTTGATTAAAACCCTCTGGCCAGCTAGAGATGGTGCTTGAAACTGACCAGACCTTGATCAGTTTCACACTGAAGGCATTTGTTGTCATAAAGGTGCACATTGGTTGGAAAATGAATTTTTTATTACCATTTATTACTTTCATATTTGCGAATTTATTTGAGGCAGTTACTAAACAAGGACTACCTGGTTTGTAATATGAAATTATTTGATGTTTATGACACTGTGTCCTGATCAGGAAACTAAACAGATACAGGACCGGCTCATGAAGTACTAGAGCCCACCAGGAAGAATCCTGGCATCCTTCTTTGGGTGCTGTTGAGAGTTGGATGAAAGCCCAGAAGATGTGCAGTTATCAGCAGGAGCAAGATGTGGTGAATTGGGTCAGTGATTTGGCTCAGCATGGGGGCTCTCCTATTTTCTCTGAAGGCCAAGGGTAAAAATATCTGTTCACATGTGTACTTACAAATTTCTTGCACTCAACAAATTTTTCACGCTGGGCTGACTGCTAAAAAGATTTTGTGGCTCATTCCAGAGTGATGCTTTTGATCATGCTTGTTAGATCTATAGATACTGTATACCAACTCTTCTGTTCAAAATCACACAACGGGCAGATTGTCAAGAGTGGACAATTTTTCTGTTAAGTAACCCTAACCCTCTCCTCCTCCCTAAAAACAAGGGATTATACCTTTACCTTTAGTAAAGCGGCACACTGAATGGGATTAGAGAATAGCCTTGATTTTTTTGAAGCTGTCCACCATCAGCAAAATAATACCATATCCCCAGCCTGAGAAAGAATATCCTGAGCAATACAGGCTCTGGATCCATTCGCTTTATTGGCCTCATAAAACTGAAAGCCTCGCCTGCTCGTCACACGTTATTTGGGTTGTAGCACAACATGTTCAGCTTGATGTTCTCGTCCCAGTGGCGAAGCAGCAGGAAGAGTTGGCGTGCTGCTGCTTTCAGGGCGGCCACGTCCACGCCTTCTGGCAGCTGCTGCCCACGCAGCCAGGCGTCCGCTTTGGCTGCCAGCAGCTCCCATTCCACAAAAAAGCCAGCACAGCGGTGCTCCAGCCAGGCTAACGCCACAGCTGTGGCCCAACTTGTGCTCTCTAAGTCTCCCTCCTCTGCCTCCAAACCCGCCTCCTGCAGGCTGATGCTCCCCTCGGAAGCATCTGGCGAATGGTCGCAGGCGTCTGTTTCAGAGCCCCTGCCGCTGTCTGCCTGTGCCCACACGGCAGCGCTCAGGACTTCTGAGCACGTGCTGGGCGAGCATGGGGAGTCCGGCTCCGTCACCCCCTCCTTGCTTGTCCTGACTCCCTCTTCGTCAGCTTCTGGGGAAGGCTGGTGTGCTGGTGGCTTTGGGCCACTCTTGGTGATCAGAGCCCAGGGAGAGGTGCTGGAGGCAGGGCTCAGGCTGGCACGGTGGGAGGGATAGGGGGAGGCCCGGCATAAGCGGTCCAGGGGGATCTGGACAGCTTCTGAGAAGGTCTCGCTCAGGTGGAACATGCCTGGGGCTTGCTGCAGCTGCACCTGTTGGGAAGTTGGAGGTGTATTTCAGCTTCCTTTTGAATTAGGTCACGAGCCTTTAGGGCGCTCTCCTTTAATTCCAGCAACTTCGCCTAGCCCAGTTTTCTATGGATCATCCCTGGATTCCCAAGAGGGATAAGCAACCCCAAAGCCTTGTTCCCGTTGACTACCATGCTGGGAAGGCAAGACTTGTAGGGTTGAGTCGCGAGCCACAGTCTAGCAGAAAAGGCAGGGCATGCTTGGCTGATACAGCCCCTCCTTAACAGGCATGCTGGGGGGGAGAGAGGTCTTACCAGCGGGAGGTAGTCATGGATGGCGTTGTCGCACGAGGACAGCTCGCTTTCTGGGCTCAGGCACTGTGGGCGTAATGCTAAACCTTGGCGCCTCCGCTGGCCACCGAATCTGCAGAGACAAAAGCCTTCTGGGTAAAATCCTTGATCAGGCCACCGTGGAACTGTAG